CACACACTCCATCTTGTGTGTTGTGGCGAATGGGTCCGAATGCCACTTGTACTCATTCCTTGGTTTTGTTTTGGCGGGTGCGGGTGCGCAGGTGGCTGATCCAGTGGTATCATTCTGTGAGACAGTTGTTGAAGCATCTTCACTTCGGTGTTTTGCAGAGACCCCGAATAAGAAAAACAAGCTGACAATGGTGGGTTGTTCTGCAGAATATTGCTTTATGATGAACTTCTATCCATTTCTTTTACTCTGCTTATCATCTCTTTTTCCCTGGATTCATCTTTCCAAAAAAGTCTCCTTTGAATGCCATGGCCCCTTAGTGCTTGACCGTGCATCATAAGCATTCAGCTGGGATAGTTTCTCTACACACTATCTTCTTCCTCCAAACATAAGGCCCAAGCATTGTGACTGTAGTTCGACCAAAACCTAGTTTGTACAGGTTGCTGATGATGGGGCGCAATGTTGGGAGGAAGGAGGTAGGGGGAGTGCATGCTCTCCTACCATCTCCATTGCTCATTTTGGCGTGCTCGATCAATGATGTGGGTTTCGTCGGACAACCGATCTGAAGTAGAAAAGGCCATTTGTCTTCATTAAGATCACTTGTCTTCCAGGATCCAACCCTGCCTCTCCCATCATACGTTGTCCTTGTCTCATGCGGCAACAGCAGATGTGCATTGTTTCCGTGCTTGGTTTCTCAATATCCTTGGCATTGCTGTGTCGCCCAACTGTGCCACTGCCTCCTGATGAGCTGCGCTTGTGGGAAGTCGTCAACCAAGAGGTTACAGCTATGGTAGGTGGTTCTGCTGCAATGCATTTTCACGAGAGGCCAAAGCTCAATGACCGGACTTGGTACACCTGTCTCACTGCCTATTTTTGACACAAGGAACGGCCAAGCACAAACAAAAAACAGCTAAGATGCTTTTCAAACCTCCGATACGAGAGGTTGTCCCTCATTTCGATCCCATTCAATCAGCTTACAAAGTTGTATTCAATTGATAACACAAACTCTCGGGGAGATATACGGATCTGCCGACGAACGCGAGGGGCCGAAGGCGCATCTCCCAAGCTAGTCTCGGCGGTGCGATTGTTTATTGCTTCTATGTCAATTTTAATCATTCTGCTGTTTGGTTTTTAGGATAAACATTAGATATCGAATAGTCGAATGTTGTGAGTCTTGTGAGCATTGCAGAGGTTCAGATACTTCATCCCTTGTCAAATTTGGCGCCTTGCATGTTCTAACTCGGCATTACTCTTTTTTTTTTTTTTTTCACTGTCAATTTCCCAGTTTTAAACGTTCAGCTTCGTCGTCACGACTGTAAAGGTGTTTGCCACACTGGAAACAGTGGAAACAGTGGGAACAGTGGAAACAGTGGAAACAGTGCAAAGTGAATTCATGCTTTAAACTCGCTCCACATTTATCTCACTCCACGTCCCTCCCTCTAGCAAAAGAAGTGACTCGTGCATCCCATGTCGTCAGACTTTTCTTTTGTACCCGGCATGACTAAGGTATACTAACACCAGGACTTCGTTGACCGAATTCAACCGTAAGAACTACCAGACTCATTAGAGAAAGTCGAGGATTATGCGCTAACGTGGCCCGCCCTCTGTAAGAGCTTGTGGCGTGTCGATGAAATTGACGAACACGGGTTCATCAGCGCATGAAAGGCGCATCGGACCACCAGCGACAAGGGGCGGTGCATCTGCAGCTATCGTGTATTCCTGTAGGTTGGGGTGTGGTATGCTGAAGTTAGAGTTAAGCTTCTAAGTTCTAAACGCAAATAAGAGCATACTCACACTAGGCCCTCAAACTTGCAAAATCACAAAATGAGCGGCCAGATCGAGTCCTTGTAAAGGAAGGACTAGATCTGGCCACTCATTTTGGGATTTTGGGATTTTTTAGGCCCTACTGTGAGTGTGCCCTAAGTTTTTCAGTTTCGGTTCTCAAGACCTCAGTTTGAATACCTGATGAAACCAGATGAATTGGATAATTTCTCAAAAAAAAAAAAAAAAAAAAAAAAAGATGAATTCGATAACGTGGAATTGCCTCGGGCGACGGGCAGGTCAGTTAGGTCAGTTGAAAGATGATACCTCAACGGTGTGACCCTTGTTTTGCAGGAAAAAGTTCAAAAAACAAAGCAAAGGAGTTCCGAGTGTCGACGATTAGTCAGTTAGTCAAACTTAGTCTCTCTCCATAGACTGTTTGCACAGTTATTCCCAAAAGAATGTGGGACGCCTATAGCTTGTGAGCCCGTAGCTATTGGAAGGCAGTGCTATATGATATGATTCCTTCGAAGTGTGAATGGTATTTGACCTTGATCAGAGGCAAGTAGGACTAATAGCTTAGATGATTTTGGGTTTGTCTTTTGCTTGAAGCTCGCAGATCCTCTTGAGAAAGGGCTCGCAGAAGATATAGAGAATGGGGTTGTCAGTATTGACTGGCCGACACGAAAGCTCAGTGACTTCTTCATGACCAAGTATGACTGGGATATTCTTGCTGCTCGTTCCATATGGGCCTTCGGTCCAGACAAACAGGTAATTCATGTCAAGCATCAGGGAGATTCTCACTCATTCTCCTTCCCACCATTTTTTGTGACCATCAGCATGCACTGTGTGCTGTATCCCTCTTGGTGCTGAGGAATGCTCACCCTTCATTGTCCTTCTGGATGCCCTTCCAACAGCCGGTGGATGGACCCGCCCTAGATATCAGGCGCAGAGCAAAGGATGAAAGAGACCCGTGCATTCTGACCTCTGTTCAGTCGCTTGTAGCACATATAAACCCTGATCAGCGATTCATGGAGCCAGAGACACATGTTGCAAACTTGTGCACAAAAGGGAGAGAGAGAAAGAGAGAGAGAGAGAGAGAGCTGTCTCTTATACACATCTAGATGTGTATAAGAGACAGCACACACACACACACACACACACACACCACACACACACACACGCACACACACGCATTCAACTTCCTGATGAGTCGGTGAAAGTCCGACGAAACAGTCTGGTACAGTCATGCTTTTTTTCGAGTGTATGGCGAATATGACAACACACACAGGTGTCTGGTGTCTGATCATCACCGGGAACTGCTCTGTACAAGGTTTATGTCAAGGAGGACCTCTTGCAAGGGTGAGATGAATAGGAATACTCCAATCCCGAGTCTGGTAGACCTTGTGTGGTGAGCTGACTATACTCGCTGTGTGGAAGGAAAGGGAAAGAAACCGCACCCTTATGATGACCACCACTGCAGGGCCTGGGCCCTTGAAGGAAAACCAAAGGCCATTCACCTAGACGAACCAAGAACCATGAGGTAATTAGTTAATTTTCAGGTCAGTTTCAATTCATAGCATAACCAAATCATAGCACCAAATGGAATGTGCAACGAACTCAAGACAGACTCACATTTCTGGGCAGAAGACTCTTGAGTATTCGTGCTCTAAGACTGGTACAATTGTGGAGTTCACTCTTATGACTTGTGTTTCTTTTATTCCTTTATTCCTGCTTTTCTTCTCCTCATGTATGGGGAACAGCTTTTAACTACGCTATTTTCTTCTCATTTCAGCCTCACACAGTAGCTAACTCTCCGATTGGGTACCCTTTTTGTTTGTTCTTGCAGCTCCCTTTCTACTGTGCCACTTGTGTACATGGCTGGCCACATTGATTGTGGTTTAGTGCCAGCTGCGCACACTCCGGCTGTTGATGTGAAAAGCTCTTTCTCATGATCAGAGTGAAATGTAAATGCAAGTGGTTGTAAAGTGGATGGGCGAATGGGCACTTCACTCTTCGAGATTCCCGCAGTTACATGTAATTTATTGAGTCTGTTTGCATTCACGTGTCCATTTTGACAGTTTGTTCTTTGTTGATTGGTATGGTTTGTGGTGGTTTGGATCGGATTGACTTGTATGACGCAGTTGTATTGCAACTTACTCTTCTATGTGACTTTGACTAGTTTGTGGCACAAGTGTTTGATTGTTCGACTTGTCTAGTGAAAATGCACATCGAGAAGATGAATGTGTGGGCACTGCTCGCTCTCGACCACACAGACGCAAATTTTAAACTGTCGTATTGTGTTTCTGGTTATTGGAATAGCATTTTATGCTTTATATCAGGTGCTTTTTCTGCTAACACGTGTCTGAAATGCAAGCACACACTCACACACACACACACACGTACGCACACATATGGCTATGAAATATCTATGTATACAGATGTATATGTGCAAGTGTGCCGCTTCCGCAGCAGACGGGTGTGGGCACTTGGTCCACGTGGCGGAGCTTGCAGTTTCTATTATGTTATCTATCTATACTTTTTTGTTATGGATGGATGGTTTGTTATGGTTTGTGGAGGAAATGAGAGAGAGTTTGGGGTGCTTTAACAACACACACACACACACACACACACACACACACACACACACACACACACACACACACACACACACACACACACACAC